GCAATCGCGGGCGAAGTGGCCTGGCTTCCCACATTTAAAACATTTGCCAGAGCCATGCTTTTTCTCGCCCACCAGTTGGATAATCTTCTTCAGCATTTCATTTGTCTCGTCCGGTGTTTCTACTTCCACGCGATGTGCTTTGTAGGCTGGTCTACTTAGGAGCGCCGCCGTTTCATGTGTCTGAGCATACGAGACCGTTTCAGCAAATGTTGGCTTTGGATTATTATACGTCTCGCGCTTGGTATACATGTCTCGCATTCCGTTGTTGAACCTCTGGATCTTTACCCTTTCGAGGTGTTCACCAGATGCATCTCCAATAGCTAAATGAGCCAACCTTTCAACCTCAGAGGCGAATTCCTGTAAAGTCTCGTTGGATTTCTGGCAGCGATTCTCCAGCTCCATCTGGTAAATCTGTCTCCGGTGCTACCATAATGTCTTTCCACTGCACCCATTAACGCATCGTAACTGTTCCTTTCACAGTCGGGAATAGTCTGCAAGATTTGTGCCGCAGGTCCTTTCAATGCAACGAATAGTGCAGCGGATTTATCCTCCATGCTCCAATGATTTGCTGCAGCCGTTTTTTCGAACTGGAGCTTAAAGACCTGGAAAGAAATCGTGCCGTCAAAGGATGGGGTTTTTACCTTGGGTGCGCTCGTCGAAGTAGCTGGACGATTCAAGTGTAAATCACGAAGACGACCTTCCAACTCCTCTACCTTTGTCTCGACTTTCTCCTGTCTCTCTTCAATTTTGTCCTGTATTTGTGTAATTTTTGCATCCTGTTCTTCCAGCTGGGATGATATACGTGTCTCTTGTGCCAGTAGCTGAGTTTCTAGCCGGGATGGCACCTGCGCTGATACCTCTGAAGATATACGTGCCTCCAGCGTTTGCATCTGGGATGACAGCTGTGATGACATCTGTGACATGCGTGCATTCTGTGCTTGCATCTGTGACAACAGCTGTGATGACATCTGTGACATGGCAGCCAATAAGGTTTTCATGTCTATATCTGTTGATGAACTAAGAGCCTTTTGCTGTTCTTCAACCTTCCCGGATGTCTGCTGCACATCCTTCGACGAACAATCAGCTTCATCCTTCTGTTCGTCCTTTGCGGATGCATCGTCGGGTTTACCCTGGAAGTCGTATTTGTCCACGTCGATGCCTTCAGCTTCCATAGCCTCCCGCAACCGGGATAACAATTCCACTTTTCTTCCGGAGGTGGCCAAATTACGCTTTTCCAACTCTTGTTTCAGCTCCTCAATATTTAAGTCCTGAATTTTCGCCATTTTCAGTAGTTTATCCTTCGGGATTTACTTAACAATCCCACTTCTGACACCAATTGTTACGATTATCCTTGAAACCTCGTCCGGATTTCCCAAATCCCTCGGATCGTATCGCTGGATTGTTAAATAAATGCAATCGATGACCAAATTGTAGTACAATTAACTTTATTGTACAACAAACAATTTACAATACTCGCTAATACAGTAAAAACACTTTACAATACTTGGTAAAGCAATAACAGCGCTTAACTAAACTTGGTAACACAATTACACTTGTATCTTGCTTATTCGCAACTCCCTTCTCTGCTCACTTTACTTGTAGCTTGCTGTCTTGTAACTAACTCACCTCGCTGTGGCGGCGCCCTTATATATCTGCGCTGGCACTTATGGCAACTCTAGAACATTCTGAAGTTTATCGCTCATTCTCTTTCTCCCGCTGTTCGCAGTGTTCATCCAACTTGACGTTTATCTTTGTGGAACATTCTACGTCATTCCTCGAACATTCTGCCTATTTCTCGTAGTTCGCTTTGTGTTGCCGCAGTGTTCGCCACAATAGTAAGTAACAATTAAAAGTAGTAAATAATTAGTGCCATTTCTGCTACTTTAAAATGCGTGACTATAAAATGCATGCGAAGTGGAACTGCCGAAAAAGTGAGGTTAAGTTACTGACAACACTTTGTTATTAGCTGTCATGGATTCGCCAACAGTTAGCGAGTGGCGAAACGAACGTTCAACTGGCATAAATATATTAGATTGGAAGTACTGAAAAAGAGCTGTCACAAATGGCATATGTCAGGAAGCACTTAATGAATTGCTTGGAAGCACTGAATTATTTGACAGTTCATAAAGTAAACAAAACAATATTTTATGTGTATACATACAAGGAGAATATTTTGCAATTAGTTACAGAAAATTGAGAAGAATTTATAATAAAAACGCAAAAATGGACAACGAGCGACTAGATTTGGTAAGAAAGTGCTCTTTTTTGTAATTATCATGTATTTAGTCAAAAATAACATTTCAGATTTCCCAATTCCTACAAAATGAGGAAGAGCTCATGAGCGGGAATGCTGGTGTATTGGCGATGTTAAACAGCTTGCCTTCGAGCTCCAGCTCGGAATCTTCCTCAAGCTCTGATGAATCGGAACGGGAAGAATGGAGCAAATGTGAGAACTTTTGTGAAGTCATTGAAGGTTACAACGAAAGTGAATTCAAAGCCCACATGAGACTACGGCGTTCAACTGTAGAGTTTTTAATCGGTACATTGTGGACATATTTAAGTTTTGTTGTTCATGAAATAACTATTACTGTTTTTTTTTTTAGAGAAATATGCAAGCAGTGCCGAGCCTAGAATGAACTATGGTGGAAGAGAAAGTGTTCCACCAAAGAAAAAGGTGTTTATTTATATATGGTATATAAGCAATACCGTCACATTTCGACAGCTTGCAAATTTGTTTGGAGTGTCTTCGTCAACCGCTTGGGCTGTTGTTAAAAGTGTGTCAGGTTGGCTTATAACAATTGGCCACGAATATATAAAGTGGCCGCAAGGTACTGCAGCAGAGGATGCAAAAAGAAAATTTGAGGCAAAGAGTGGTTTGCCGGGAGTAATCGGTGCCATAGACTGTACTCACATTCGTAATAAAGCTCCAGAAGAAAATAAAGAAAATTACTTCGATAGAAAGCACACTTATAGCCTAGTTCTTCAGGCAGTAGTGGATGCGGATAAAAGATTCACCGATGTAACTTGTGGTGAGCCTGGTTCACTTCATGACAGTAGAGTTCTTCGTAGGTCAAGTCTTTTTGCTACAGCGCAGTCTGAACCTGAAAGTTTATTTCCGAATGACTCATTCATTTTGGGTGATTCGGCTTACCCCGCTACAAGTTGGTTGGTACCTCCATTTAAGGACTACGGCAATTTGAGTGAATCGCAAAGAAACTTCAACAAATTACACTCTTCTACTCGAATAGTTGTGGAAAACGCTTTCGGCTTATTAAAAACTCGCTTTAGAAGGTTACTACATTTTACTGAGCAAACTAATTTATGTTTTGTTGTCAATATAATTGTTAGTGCGTGTATTCTACACAATATATGTTTAATATTTGATGATTTAAATATTGGATTTGTTCAGAACGAAATGTCGGAATACAATTTGCAAGATGAACCTATTGAAGACAATTACCATGCAAATGGGAATAGACGAGATTTATTGTTCGAATATTTGCAGGAGCATAATTTGATTTAAGAAAAAATACCCAACATTTTCTGTCTTAAATTTAATCAAAAATCCATTTTATTAAGTTAAATAAAAGAAATATATTACATTCATTGGAAAAAATACTTAAGGTAAATAAAAATCAAAATGCAAAATTAAATTAATCTAAAAAAAAATCATTTGTTTATATTTTTAAGTAGTTCAAGTTTTTTCATTTCTACTTCTCTCATCATTTCCACTACCGAATCGTGGAATCTTTTCTTCTCCTCTAACTTCCTTTTTTTAATATAAGTTTTTCCTCGTAATATCTTTCTCGAGCTGTTTTCCTGTGACGTTTTGATATTACTGGTTGTGACGATTCTGCTTCATGGGATGGTGGTTGTTGAGATGATTCAGGATGTGGGGATGTAGGTGGGGACGGCGATACAGCCGGTTGTGGGGATATTGGTTGCGGACGTAGTTCTGTACATGGGGATGTTGCTGCAAGGTGGGATGTTGTTGGGTGTTGAGATGCTCGTGGAATTGGGGATGTTGTTGGGTACGCAGATAGTGCTGATGCTGTATGTGAAACTGCTGGA